TAAAATTCTGTTGCTAACACAGCCACAGTCCATGTTTTCTCAAAGCAGTACATTCCTAGAATCTGTGTCATGAGGTAGCTCTTAAAATTTTGAAACTGTATTTCTAACAAAGGAATTGGCAAACCAGGAATCTTAAGAATATCCAACAAATGTGAATACATCAAAGCAGCCACACTCTAAATCTCCTGTTGACATTTTGTAAGCCTTATATTGGGCTACAAGTCCCTCAATCAGTTAGGATGTTGAAAGAAAGAAAATATATAACTTAAAAAGCCTTAAGAGTTTAAAGGCATTTGTTACTGCATAGAACAAAACATCTAAAGGCAGATTCGACAGTTCTGTAGTGTTCCCAGAGACCAGGCTCTTTATCGCTCTGCTCTACCATCCTCCACAGATTGCCTTGGCCCTCAGACATTTCCTCTCTTTGCAAGATGGTTGCCACACTCTGGGAAACAGGAAGACCAACATTAAAAGGCTTCCTTCACTTCCTACATTGTGCCTCTTTTAGTGAGAAAGAATGCCTTTCTCCATAGTCATCCCATTAACCAGAAGACCAAGAATACAAATATTTTGTATTTTTGGCTCCTTGGAAACACTACTCAGGGCTGCTAAGAGTTAGAACCAACTCCACAGCAATTAACAACAACATTAGATACATGCCAAGAATGAGGGAGGAGAGTGGGCCTCAAAGAATAGAATACTTTTATTTGTTGTTCTTAACCTAGTTCCAGGTACTGTGAATAGGCCCTCAGCAATCTTGTATTTGGCATAAATACTATATTTAATTTTTTAATTTTTTTCTTTCAGCAACTCTAGTTCATTAAAGTTAACAGTTCTAGATTTTCTGAAATTTAGCAAGACGTTTGGAATGACTTGAATATACAGGAGGAGACAGAAGTTTGCTGTCACTATTTTCTCTAACCATTTAATACTGAGATGATTAATAAAGTTACTGTTACTGTATGTAAGTAACTATTTCAGTAACTATGCAACTTTGTTTGGCATTGCCCTGCCTCACTTATCAGCTACAAGGGTAACCTTGCTGAGAGAATAGAAATATTACCTTGGGGAGAAGAGAGGCAAGGTTGAGGAGTGGTCTCTTAAGTAAGACATTGGTGGTTCAGTGGCAGAATTCTAAATCTTCTGACCTGAATACCAAGTTCAGTTTCTGACCAGAACACCCCATGTACACATCTTTTAGCCCGTAAAAACCCAATGAATCCCAACAGCCGGATCCATAGTACATCACGGGGATGGTGCAAGACCAAGCAGCATTTGTTTCATTGTGACTTAGTAGCAGATAACAAAAAAAAAAACAAAAAACAGCTGATTTATTAGCCTGGGAATGGGTGTGTGTGTTCCAGGCAGAAGCAACATCCTGGGCAGAGATACATAGGTGTGAAAGAACCCATTGTGGTCCACGCTTCTCCCAATTTCATGTGGTCAGAGTATAGTGTAGAAGAGGAAAGGTTGGAGGAACATACAGCGTATTAGGAAGTTTGGCATCATCAGTCTTGGACCTTCTCATAGATCAGTGATTTTTTGACTGTGTCCTATACCATCCTTGGGGATCCAGGGAAAGGCTTTGGAGCCATTTCGCTGAGCTTTGGCCCTCCACTCCAACCCTATTTCACTATTTCAGCCAGAGCAACTCTATTATATGAGGGGGTTTCAAAAAGTTCATGGAAATTTCCACTATCTTTTCTTTCCATTTTTCTAACCACTACGCTATACAAAAGGAGCTCTGGTAGCGTAGTGGTTACAAATCGGGCTGCTAACCTCAAGGTCAGCAGTTCGAAACTACCAGCTGTTCCACAAGAGAAAGATGAGGCTTTCTGCTCCCGTAAAGATTTGCAGCCTCGGAAACCCTGTGTAAGGTTACTATGAGTCGGAACCTACTCCCCGGTACTTAACACTAATGATGCTATATAAGTCAGGTTGCTAACCTCAAGATCAGCAGTTCTAAACTACCAGTGGCTCTGCAGGTGAAAGATGAGGCTTTCTGCTCCTGTAAAGAGTTACAGCTTCAGAAACCCTATACAGGGTCACTATGAGTCAGAACCAAATCCACACCACCACCACCACCACCAATGTTGTTAAATGTCATCAAGTCAGTCCGACTCATAACAAGCCTGTATAGGGGTTCCTGAGGCTTTTTTAAATCTTTGAATAAATAGAAAACCTCATTTTTCTCGCATGGAACAGTTGCCAGACTCAAGTCATGGACCTTATGATTCCAGTCCAGTGTTTATCTTATGGAGCCACCGAGCTACCCAGGATAGACGGCAGAGGACAGATTTTTGAATGGGTAAATCCTAGAGATTGATAGGAACAAGGGAGAAGAGAAAAAGTTGAGGATCATGCTCTGATTTCGAGTTGGGAGAAAGTAAGTGAACGTAGGTACTCCATGGGTAAGGATTAGGAATCACAAACATGGGCAGATGTGATGAAGAATCCTGGGGCACAGGGGTTAAGAGCTCAGCTACTAACAGGAAGATCCACAGTTGGAAGCCACAGGAGAAAGATGAGGCAGTTTGCTTCCATAGAAATTGCAGCCTTGGAAGCTCTATGGGGCAATTCTACTCTGCTATAAGGTCACTATCTGGTAGCGTAGTGGTTATGAATCAGGCTGCGAACCACAAGGTCAGCAGTTCGAAACTACCAGCTGCTCCGCGGGAGATTGATGAGGCTTTCTGTTCCCATAAAGATTTACAGCTTCAGAAACCCTGTACAGGGTCGCTATGGGTCGGAACCAACTTGACAGCATTTAACAACAACAACAACATAAGGTCACTATGAGCAGAATCAAATTGATGGCAGTGGGTTTGATTTTTGTTGCCAGACATGTTTGGAGGCACATGTATTTGACTTACCTGTAGAATATGGAAATGTCTACTGACCAGTTGGTATGAACCTCAGGAACATCACCCAGACTAGACATAGGCTCAGATGGTTGTGGAAACCTAGGTCACATATGTACTCACCCAGAGAGTGTGCTGAGTGGGAAAGGAAGATTGTCTTCAAGACAGAACAGCTCCAAGAGTTTTATTAACACGGTTTCCCCAAACTGTTGTTAGCTGCTGTCGAATTGGCCCCCGACTCATGGTTACTACGCATAATGGAATGAGATGCTGCCTGGTTGTATGTTATCTCCATGATGGGTTGGGAATCAAACCATTATGATCCATTGAGTTTTCACTGGCAGATTTTTGGAAGGCTTTTCTCCTAGTCCGTATTAGTCTGGAAGCTTCTCTGAAACCTGTTCAGCATCATGGCAACACACAAAATTCCACTGACAGAACGGTGGTGGTGGCTGCACGTGAGGTTAAACCATGCCTCTGGCATGAAAGATGTGAATTCTACCATTGGACCATTTAATGTCCAATGAAAGTATTCTTTCACCTGCCAAAATCTAAGGATGTGCCTTGTATTGTTTTTTGTTATTCTTGTTAAAATAATTTTCCTGGATAATTCTAAAGATTCATCTTGTTTGTTTGTTTTTTCCTTTTACACGGTTTTTCAGATTAAAAATAGGGATCGGAAGTAGAAATATATTTCTACTTCTGATCAAGGCAGGTCTTAGTTAAGAAGGCTTAGGAGTGGAATTGTAGCCAGAACTATAATAACTGAAGCTGCTAATTATTCTCCCTACTTTTGATATTTACCTGTATTGATGTTTGATGTCTACTTCCGAATTCAATCTTTTTTATTGTTCTATTAAGACTAAAAAGGAGCTCTGGTAGCGTAGTGGTTACAAATTGGGCTGTGAACCACAAGGTCAGCAGTTTGAAACTACCAGCTGCTCCGGAGCAGAAAGTTGAGGCTTTCTGCTCCTGTAAAGATTTACAGCCTCGGAAACCCTGTACAGGGTCGCTATGAGTCAGAACTGACTTGATGGCACTTAACAACAACAACACATGAAAAGACTAAAGGTCTATTTAAATACAGTTTACATTCTTATTATGGAATATGACCTTCTTAATGAGGAGGGAAATTTTAGTGAAAATTAATTAGTGACAAAGTGTTCAACAGTTTGAAGCAAGAGATTACTAGGTTTTGCATTGCAGCAGTTATTTGTAAACACTGTGTCATTGTCAGAGAGAGGTGGGAAAGGACAGAAGTTGGACAGAGGGCAGCATGCAGGCAGTCAAGGCAGGCTCCAAGGGACCTAGTGCGTCAACTCTATTTGCCTTTATCCATTCTCATTTCAAAAAGCATTTGAGGGTGTGTATTGCATGGGTTCCAGTCTTGCTTTTCTTTTGACTGATCATCCCACCGCTTGTCTACCTGGACCTCATTTCTGCCGTCACCCTAGGTTTTTCTGCTCCATCACACCCTGGAGCTGACCTGTTCTGATCACCAGTCTTTGCATAGAGAAGTTCAACCTTTCCCTGTACCAGCAGCTCCCTTGTGGCTCCACAGAATGTGTTGGATGTTGGTATCTGTCATTTCCTGGCTCTTCCTATCTCTCCAGCAAAGGAACTCTTCCAATCTCTCCAGCAAAGCAATCTCAGTGCTGATGACAAGCAGAAAATACTTACCAATGTCTGAAGTTTCAAACTAGCTTTGACTTTCTACTAATCCTTCTAAATATGTTGTTGGTAAGTGCCAGCGAGTCATCATGACCCTGTATAGGATTCCCAAGGAGCCTCTGGTAAGTTTGAACCACCGACTTTTCAGTTCAAACTATCCTTGCAGTCAAGTGCTTATCCTACAGTGCTACATAATGTGTTTAAATTAAGAGTAGTAGAGATAAACACGATTTGGAAAAATGATAATGTAACCCTAGCCTATTTCAGTGACAATCTAACATGGTGAAGTAAATTGACTGTCAGATATGATCAGTGTTGTTGAAGTGAATGGCTGTCATTCCTGGAGTGGATACAGTCAAATTCTCACCCAACAGGAGCAGTTTGATGACTAAAGAATTCACTAAACTCGAGAGTAACTGAGCCTCAATGCATTGCTGATCTCCACATTACATCTCTTCTGTTTTTCAGGAACCACATGTTTGATTGCTCTGCTATCAGATAAAGACCTCACCGTGGCCAATGTGGGAGACTCACGTGGGGTCTTGTGTGACAAGGACGGGAATGCCATTCCTCTGTCTCATGATCACAAACCTTACCAACTGAAGGAAAGAAAGAGAATAAAGAGAGCTGGTGAGCTTGTGAACATTCTGAGGAATGCCCGCCATCTTGTTTGGTGGACAAGGTGGCTTGCTGGAGGATATGTTGAGGGATAAAGTATAGGGATTAGTAGATCCATACAGGGACTGCTGATAATATAGTTGAGACTTTGCAACATTTTCTGTCAAATAAATGGTTGCTGAATTTGCCCTTCGTCATATTCAAAGACTCCAAAGAAGCCAAAGAAACCTTTTTTTCAGTTAAAAGCTGAGATTATCGGGGCCGTTTAAATAGAGTGATAAGTGTAGCCTCTCTAAGACTATAACATTTGAACAAAGACTTGAAGGAGAATTATCTTGTGATTATTACCTTTCATAGTTATATTTGGGGGGTTCCTTTATACCTGTGGGATAGAGGACTTGTTTCCCTACCCTGACTGTCCCTACAGCATGGAGGCTCTCTGTAATTGCCAGGCAGCAGGTACAGTTGCTGAGAAGGCAGGTGGGGTGCACCCAAGATCACCCCTGCTGTCTGGGTTAATCTTCAGATTGCCTCTCACTCTACAGGTCACCTTCTGCCCAGAACCTAATCAGCATTTGAGTTTTCACCAGAGGAGGCTGTACTGTTGAGTCAGAAAATGTTGAATTATATTATAACCCTGTGCTTCAGTGCCTGCTTGAGATGCAGAATAAATTTTAATGCAAGGTTTTGTGAGGTTTTCTGTTGATGGGATGGAATAAACAATGTTTTAAGGGTGTCTATCAAGCTTTGATGAGCCCGGCAGGGGGAGGGAAATACTTTGATACTGGTCTTTGATACTGATGAAAGTACCATCTCTGTTCAAGAGCCCACTGTCACCCTAGATTTAAGATACAGCTAACACCCTCCCTTGTGCTGCCAGTGGGAAGGGGACACTAGATAAGAATATGGGCATCAGACCAAAACCAAACATACTGCCTTCAAGTAGATTCCAATGACCCCAAGATCCTTATAGTTCCTGAGACTATAAATCTTTACAAAGGAGATAGCCTCATTTTTCTCCTTTGGAGTTCTATGTGGGTTTGAACCACCAACCTTGTGCTTAGCAGTCCAATGCTTAATACACTATGCCACCTTATGTGTACATCATACTCCTAGGAAGGTCATCTTAGCACCCAGTGCTCTTTTCCAAATTGTTGCTCCTTTTTTATCCTCCCTCCCCTTCCCTGCATTATCTACTATTTCCCCAAACACCACCACCTCTATACACACACACTAGTGCAGTGATTTTTTATAGAAGCCACTTCGGATGCCATCTTCAAAGTGGTTACTCTAACTTGCTGTCTTCTTTTATAGAATGTGGTCAAATGTGCATGCATTTTAGAGCAAGTCCTATATGTGTGTTTTCACTGACTCCAGTGGTATCTTCCCCTTTCCTTTTTGGATTTCTTCCCCTTTGGTTAGCATAACAAAAAGCTGCAACCAGCCTGGGTCAAATACATGCTGATCTCTCTGTCTCCACTCCTTATGTGGCTTCCAACAACAATACTGATCCAAGCTGCCATTTAGTCTGGACTCATATGTGCTAGGAGCTAAGTCAGTTGCTTTACATGCACTTTCTCTGTGCCTTCCTTATGAAATCAATGTTGTTGTGTTGTTGTTAAGTGCCGTCGAGTCGGTTTCGACCCATAGCAACCCTGAACAGGGTTTCCAAGGCTGTAAATCTTTATGGGAGCAGAACGCCTCATCTTTCTCCCGCGGAGCAGCTGGTAGTTTTGAACTGCTGACCTTGCGGTTCACAGCCTAATTCGTAACCTCTATGCTACCAGAGCTCCTTATGAAGTCAATGATATTCTTCCTCATTTCCGACCAAGAAACTGGAGCCTCCAAGAGGTTGAGTTACCTGTCCAATGGACACACAACCAATGAATAGTGAGAACAGATTTGAAAGCATGCCTGCCTGATTCTTGCTCACTATACATCATGAAATGTACCCACTAAATCCCTATCTACAAAAGTTCTACCCATCATTCAAGGCCTAGACTTAATGCTCACTCCTCCCTAGTTATCACAACTAGAAATCACCCCCCTTTCCCCATCTGCCCACAGCATTCAGCAGAGAAAGTCTTCCCTTAAAATAATACTCTTTGGTACTTGTAGCTATTAGTTTGTGTGGCTTATCCTTCCTGCCAGACTGGCCCTTGTATAACTTTATATCCTGCAAACTGTCTTGCATGGAGTAGGTGTTTAATAAATATATGGTAAATAGCATGGGGATAAACAAAGGTCTGTCTTCCTTAAGGAAATAATAATAGATAATTATCAATTGTGTACTATGTTTGGCCACTGTGTTAAGTGATCTGGATGAAATAACTCCTTTATTTCTCATAATAATTTAATAAGATAGGATCTATTATTGACACCATTTTGCAGCCAGGGACACCAAGGATAGGAGAGTTTTTCATTCATTGTCATGTGCAGCTAGATCCAGGAATTAATTCCAAGCTGTTTGACTCCAGAGCCTGAGCCTTTAACCACTATACTAAGATGTGCTTTCCTTTAATCCTGATCCTATTTGGAGACTTATTCTGAGATCTATGTTGTTATTGTTGTTAAGTGCCTCGAGTCATTTCTGACCCATAGCGACCCTGTATAGGGTTTCTGAGGAGTAACTGGTGAGCTTGAACTGCCAACCTTGCAGTTCAGACGGCTTTGCAGTGTGGCGCATTAACTCACAGTGCCACACCAGGATTCCTACGTAGGCACACTCAAAGGTTGGCCTCAAGCTGAAGATGCATACCTCTATGTCTCAGGACCATCCACCTGCCTTTTCAGCATCCTTTTACCTGTGAATCCCTAGTGCTAGTGCTTCCTATTGTCAGTCACTGAAAGGTTGAGGTGTTTAAATTAAACTGATGTCCTCCCCCACACTCACCCCCTACCCTCAGTTTTTAAATTTACATATTCTTGAAGGCCTATAAGATGCCAAGGACGCATGTACTAGCAGTGAGGGGGGAAAGAGGACTGCCTACAGCCCCAGTTCCTATTAGTTAACCTGACAAGCATGCACCTAGACTGTGCTCAGTCTGTGAGATGTCACCTAGTTATGCTAATGAGCTCTTTCTGTCTTTCCAGGTGGTTTCATCAGTTTTAATGGCTCCTGGAGGGTCCAGGGTATTCTGGCCATGTCTCGGTCCCTGGGGGATTATCCACTGAAAAATCTCAACGTGGTCATCCCTGACCCAGATATCCTGACCTTTGACCTGGACAAGCTCCAGCCAGAATTCATGATCTTGGCATCTGATGGCCTCTGGGATGCTTTCAGCAATGAAGAAGCTGTTCGATTCATCAAGGAACGCTTGGATGAGCCTCACTTTGGAGCCAAGAGCATTGTTTTACAATCATTTTACAGAGGCTGCCCTGACAATATAACAGTCATGGTGGTAAAGTTCAGGAATAGCAGCAAAACAGAAGAGCAGTAAACCCTTCACGGGTCTCAGCTGCCTTACACTAAAGGACTTTGAACACACTGGTCTCTTTTTAATGTAGTGAAAGGTGTGGAAGTTAATAATTAGGATCATCCATCCCAGACATGGGTTCCCCCCTCCCTGGTGGTCTTAGGTCTATCTATATTCAGTGAGGAACAGAGGGTGTTCTTGGCCAATGTATTTGAGAGACTGGAAAATGGTTTCTTCATGCTTCCCCCACACTCTTTATCCGATGATCAAAATATATAAATATATAGCTGTAGATTCATTCACATGTTTGATGTGAATGACATAGGTGCCGTAGATTGCCTCTTGAGGATGCTTTCAAAGATCCCTTGCAGGGTCCTCCCAGGCATCAAAAGAGAAGGTGTCTTCTCTTCAGAGGAGTGAGCAGAGCAGGTCTTCCCAAGCTACAGGAGGCCGGCTGCAACATCGCCTGGGCATCAGGGGTCCCAGGGATACAGAGCTACCTGGTGAACATCTTGGTCCTCCTGAGCTCAGGTCTTCTGCTCCACTCAGCAGCAGCCTGGAAGCAGATTTGGGATGGTTTATTCTGCTGAAGCTGCTCATGGAGACTGAGGGAAGCAGTGAGGGTAGACGATCGATCAATGGCTGCTGCCTTCAGAGCAGAGGCCACCTTTCTCCTGGACCTTTTATTAGTTAAATAGACTGTGGTACCACCTGACCAGCCTTTGTGCATTTATCCTAATAGTGCATGAATGACCTTAATAACCTTTTGCTTACGCCTTACCTTATATAATAGGCAGGTCTGTTAAACCACCAGACATGACAATTTTTTATCTTACATTACCAAGAAACCATATTAGGGGACTTGAGAAAAAGCAAATCATGATAGTGGTATTCAGCCATAAGTCCTTCCACCCTAAGGGTTGTTAGAAGAAAAAGAATGCCAGTGAATCTCTGTGCCTCTTGGGAAGTCCCTATTTGCTGTGGAGAGAAAGGCCGTGCTGAGGTTGCCACCCTCAATTGAGCTCCAGCTGCCAGTGTGTATGTGTGTTTCCTATCTTAGTAGCTTTCATGAGTCTGTCAAACAGCGGCTAAGAAGCAGCCACCAAGAATTGCATGTGTTCCCTGAACCTGGATGCAGAATTTCTAGCCACTGTCCTTTGGAATTTAGTGGTAAACAATTAGGAAAGGCTTCTTCTTACAAAGGCAGCAATAGGCTTTCTCATAGTGTTGCTGATTACCATCCACACCTGGTAGCTTTCCTCAGACAGATACAGTGTGCCCCACATGCCCCCTGCAGGGACACCTGGGCAGTGGTGTTCAAGTGCAAAACCTATTCGTCAAGCGGTCCATGGTTATTTTTGGCCCAGGCTTACTGCCTTCCAATTCCTAACACCAAAGTCATGTTTCCAATCACAGTATTTTTTTATGTTCATTTGCAGAAAATCCTGTTTGCCTGACTGAGATGGCTCAAACAGCCCAACAGGGTTTTCGTTAACTTTTCAATCCACCTTTTGTCTGAAATGCCAGATGTTCACCAGCTTCATTCTTCCCAAGCAGACATTTGTCCTGACAACGTCTCACAGACCCTATTCACCTGCTCCCTGCTACACATAGTGCCCCTCTCCCCTTAAGCTATGGAGCTTTCAGGAAGCAGATTCCCAGGGAGAAGCAGGTTCCAGGATGAAGAGATTTCCTTGTAGCTGTGGAGGACTTCAGCCTGTCTCAACTCCTCTAAGCACTCACTTTTCTTTGCCTGCCATGAGAATCAATCTCGTTGTTTCCCAAAAGATTTGCTGACTTTTGCATACTGTGTTTTCCAGCATTGGAATTAGAACCTTGGTTATTACTCATTTCTGTTAGCCATGGAATGTTCTAGTACAGAATACCTGCTACCACTTTAGATTTAAGCATTTGTCTGTACAGAGATACTGAACTTTTGGATTTATGCATTTAGGGGCAGGAGTGGGAAGGGGTGTGTGAAAAACAAGTGCTGGTTTTGACCAGTGATGGGACAGGTCAGAGTCTGATTGGCAATTTAGCATCTTGACCAATTAACTGAAGTTCAGGAATCTGAGATTTCAGCCCTTTTTACATTACACAGTCACTTTGTTGTTTAGCACAAAATACATAATAACAAAGGAAAGACATTTTAAAATTCCATGATCATTTCAATTGTCTAAAATAAAATAACATTTTAGTGAAGATGAAAAAGAAAGGCTACTAAAAATTGGTGTTTATTTACCTAGCAGATTTTCTTCAGAGATGGTGCTGAGGGCAGAAGTTGCTTAACTTCCCCTCTAATTGAGGCTCACAAGGCATCTTCTAAATTTTGTTTTGTAGAATCAATTCATTTATGACTGTCACCAAATGGTCTATTTCCAGGCTCCCTTTCGGCCTTGTCTTCACCCCACGTTCGCGTGTAGATTTTTTATAAGCTAGTTCTCAGCAGAATCATCACATTCTGATGAATCATTTTGTCTAAAGTCAGAGTGCTATGTTTCTTCCCAGCAGCCTCCTGGAACGCTCTCTCTCTCACCCTTTCCCAGTTGTTGCCCTTTGGCAGACATCACTCATGAGTTGCCCTGTGGTATACAGGGCCCCAGTTTCTGGGGACCTGGGAAGGTTGAATCTAGCCATTCATTACTCATTAGGGAAATGGATTTGAAAAGTTTGCATGAAGCTTCCCTAAATAGCACTGCCAAAGCTTTGGAACTGTCAGCCGAGGCTGCCCAGATGCCCTAGCCCGAGTTCGTTCCCATTGCCAATAGTCCCCATGGTGCCAAATTGTGGGATGGCTTTTAAAAGTCTTTTAGAAATGAGGCTGGGAATGACCACTCGCTATGAGTCCCAGCAAAATGCCAAGCCCAGGTCTTCCTGAATCTCTGCACTGCTGCTGCTCTGATGACAATTTATACTTAAAATGGATTAAGATTGGGGTAGGGATGGGGTGGGCAAGGAAAAATTTTTTTGAATTCACTATATTCACAATTCTTTAATCAAAGGAATAAATAATATATATATCAAACGCTCCAAAACTATTTCCCAAGACCTGCATTTATTTTTCATGACCAACTAGCCCAAGACACTTAACTCAGAAGTCTCTGTTCTAATACAAGACTGTATGCAATATTACTGGTAACCAGTGGATGCAGTCTATTCCTTGATATGGAATAAAGGTATTGGCTTCTTAGATTTTGTAATATATGAGTATTACAAAGAGCATTTCACAGAGTTAAGGGGCATATATATATATAATCTGATATGTAAGCTGGGTACTTTAAACAGACCTTATTAAATACAAGTACCCACTTTTACCTGTAATGCATGAATTTCTACCCACATAAAATTTTGTGCAAATGATAAGCAGGATTGCCAATCTGAAGAGGTTCTGGAAATTGCACAGAACAGATCACTAGGATATCTGGCAATATGTGAGGAACCAACAAAAAGGGTATAGCCCCTTTCCTTTGCCAGGTACACATGGGTTTTCCTGATTTTTTTTTTTCTCTGAGTAGTTTCCAGATCTCCTGACTCTCTTACAATTGTGTCAACTAAGAAGGTTTAAAAAAGACAAGATTTAATTGTGCATCTAAAAGCAAAGAAACACATACTTTTGATAAGACTTGTTTTTCCAATCATTTCAGAAATACTTTTTTTTTTTCCTTCAGTAGACTGATCTTTTTTTATATCCCCCCCCAAAATTGCCTTAGCACATCACACCAGCATTCCTGACCCAGCTCTAGAGAAATGACGTGATTGTTAGATACCCTGGTTGTTGTTGTGAAGTGTCGAGTCAAAGGTCGGAACCTAGAACGACCCTGTATAGGGTTTCCAAGGAGTGGCTAGTGAGTTTGAATGGCCATCCTTGGGCACTCCAATCTTGGGAACTCCAGATACCTTGATGGTGGTGGTTGTATGCCACAAGAGTAGTTTCTGACTTATAGCGACCCTATATAGGATATCCAAGGCTGTAAATCTTTACGAGAGCAGAAAGCCTCACCTTTCTCCTGCAGAGCAACTGATAGATTCGAACTACTGACCATGCAGTTAGCAGCTCAGCTTGTAAACCACTATGCTACCAGGGCTCCTTGATACCCTGGTGATGGTTATGTGCTGTGGAGTCAGTTCCTACTCATAGCAACCCTGTATAGGCTTTGCGAGGCTGTAAATCTTCATGGGAGCAGAAAGCCTCATCTTTCTCCCATGGAGCTGCTGGTAGTTTTGAACTGCTGACCTTGAAATTAGCAGCCAGAGTCATAACCAGTACGCTACCAGAGCTCCTTTGATACCCTGGTAGAGCCTGTTCAATGGCATCACATTAAATCATGGATATGTAGATTTCTGAACTACTCAGCTCATGCTGTGGGATAATGGAATCCTGTGTCCCCCATAATGTATTCCATGTTCCACAGAACACAAGTTCCAAAGATGATCTTCCAAATATTGGGTTCTAGCATCGACAGAGTTTGGGAAACACATACTCACAAATGCTCTAAATAAATGGCCTGAAGGGGGTGGAGAAAGCATACCACCCAGTGGCATCAGTTGCCTCAGTATATTTCAGATTAATTTGACCATAGAAACCTTTTTTTGAGTAATACCTAGAGCAACATTCCAAGGAACAAGTCTTCCACAGAACCCACTTTGGGAAATTCTGGTATATGAAAATCTTGCCATTTTGACTCTTGTATATATAAGAAGTCACTATGACTCTTAGTAGTACTAATACAATTTGTCATTTAGCATCACTAATCCTTTCACATAAGAGGTTGACTTGTTAATTAAAACAGTGTTAAGCAATAGTGTGATTTAACTTGACCAACACAGCAGCCTCACAATGAGAACTAAAATTTATGAAAAAATAGCAGAAACCCAACAGTCCGACTTCAACCTCTCAGCACTGTCACCCTGCGATGACATGAATACAAAGCAAGTGCCTAGCCATGGCTAGGCACCTCTCAAGTTCATTCCTAGAGTTTCTCATTGCTTTTTTCAGTTATCTTTGCTTTCTGGGTTGAATCAAA